ATGGGGAGTTCAGTGCTCTCCGTCTGTCACCTTTTCTGCTCGCTGGCTGTGGTGGGGGCTGTCTCATGAAAGCACCTGTGCTTAAAAACATAGCAACAGAGGATTCCAAGGAGGATAATGCCTTCGTGCCAGTCAGAGGGTACAGGCCAAGCACTAGAACCAGAAATAAGGTTGGAAAAGTATTTTTGCCTGGGTGGGGAGGCCTGTATGCTTTTTGTATTTTTTAAAGATATCTGTCTTGCATTAATAGTTGAATGACTTCAAAACTGTAAACTTTGTTTATAATTCAACTCACAGCTGTTGTTGAAATGCTAATACTTAAAGCATCACATAATGGAAAATTATTAATTCTCAGTATCAATATGCTAGATTTTTAAAATAAAAAATAATGTATAACCTATTAAAGAGTCCCCTTCTATTTTTGTAAGACATGCTACAAAGCATTACCTGGAAAGCTTCAGGTTGTTCTAGTTGCTTAGTAACTTGCAAATAGAAATAAAATTCCAACACGTTTCTAGTGCTGAGAGGTACATATGAGACCAGAACAACTATAAGAAGTTTAAGTACATTTTATTAACAATGCATCCCTTTGATAAGATTACGCTTCGGAGGCTTTTAATGCCCATTGACATGAACTGTACACACTATACAAAAAAAAAAAGAAAAAACACACAAAAAAAATCAAGGTGGGCAATACCATTTTGGGACAAGCCTCTGTTTAAATTATACACAGCTCAATGCAATATTCTTATGGAAAATATATAAATACTTTTTCTTTCTATGTTACAGGTATACAATATAAATCAGATTTCAATGTCTGTTCAGTGACCTACAAACACTAGAACCTCCAAATATGTAGCAGCGTATTACTAAATAAAAAAAGACCACATGGGACAGGGAGAGTAAGTCTTGAGATTTTCCTTGATCCCTTCCCTCCTCAGAATGATTAATTTAGATAATCTCTCATAATGCAGTTTTAGGGATGCTGACAGCCCAGTATTGGAACAACTTCTCAAATCTACAAAAGCTCTGCCTTTCCTCCCCTTCCTTAGACATTGCATCTTGTGCTAAAACACTATTCAGTGGCAAAATGGCATGTTACACTTTTTGGCATAAATTACATTTTTCAAATAAAATAGTGTATTTTACAAAGCAACTCAAGCAAAATGTGCAATTTCTGCATGCTGTGGCATCACTGTCCATCTTATGGTGCAAAAAGAGTCCAAAGAAAATCCACATTCTTTACTGAACATACACAACTGTTGAAAACAAAACTATCCAGAACAAAAATCCAAGGAGATTGAGGGCTTCTACTGAAATACAAACATGGTTTCTAGCATGTTACCAAAAGTCTTTCACAGTTCTCAGATTTTACTCTCACCTAGCGTACCTTTAATAAGCAAACAATAACAGAAGTGAAACTTAAAAGTTTTGGGACATGCTTTCAACTGGCTCCAGCAAAGCTGCGAGTGGCAGGACTTCTGCGCAGCCCTGCTGAGAGGTGAGCAGTAACCTTGGAGACACTCCGAAGCCTGACAAGAATTCTTCCACTGCGACTGGTCAGCACAAGCTCACATGCACTGACAAGGTAACACCAGCTTCCTGCAGTCCAAACAGCCAAATACTAAGACCAGGACACAGATTAAGATGAAGCAACAACTCTTTCATCCTCATTAGGCTTCCATTATCACCTGTTTCTCAAACAGCAACTGCTCCCTGCAGGCACCAAGTAAAGGTGCTATAGGTTTTTTCAGTCTCTCACTGCAAATTGCAACTCTTGTTCAAGACCACTACATATGTTTCAGAATAAAATGACAAAGAGGTGAGCAGGAATTTCTCTGCTGCCTTTTAAAATGTTTGTAAGGGCAGCTTACCTCAGCGTGCCAAGTCACTGTGCCCTAAACTACCGAATACTTCAGCACCTCATTGTGCGTTTAGAAAAAAAAACAACAGAACCCAACTGGAGCACACTCAGGGTACATATGTCAGGTCAAGTAAAAACTGTCACACGATGAAAAGCATCTCTTTCAAGCACAGCAGGCCAGGGGCCCCACATAGAAGTCAGGCACCTCAAAGCCCGACCACCTCCAGCTCCAAGTGATGTCCACGACTGCTGAGAGCATTCTGCATCTCAATTTCAGACAGCTGAAAAGGCGTCTCTCTCTCCAGAAGGACGCTCGCAGCACCCAGTTTTGTCCTCCTCCTCACTCAGTGGACAGAAACAGGCCCTCAGGGAAGTAAGTGGGAGCCCTTTAGTTAGCTCACTGCCCTTTGGGAAGGGCTAGCCCTTCCCACTGACTGCAAAAGGAGACTCGGAAAACAAGCCAGCTAACCTAGCAGGCTAAACACAACCGGTTTCACAGCCAGCCTCTCCTTCCCACAAAGGCTTTCTCCTCAGAGCTGCATATTTTGTGTTAGAGTGCTGAATCATTCAGGAGTTTTCTTTGCCACAGCAACCAAACTATCTGTATGCGGGGTAAGCGAACGCTATCTGCTTTACCATTTATTCGACAGTATCACCAATTGTTTGGACTGGAAAAATACAAAGTGGGTGGTCTGTCAGCTTCCCTTGCAAACCTTTACCGTGAGAAGTGGAAGGATTCTTTACCAGGGTTAATATAAGCACAATTTATTTACTACTGTTTTCTTTTGAAGTTTTATTGTGAAGCAAATAAAACCCCAAAATACGAATTTTGAAAGGGATATTTTAAAAAAGAAACCTATAGAATTAGAAATTCACAGTTTATAACTAGGCCAGTATCAAATTCCTTCAATAACAGTATCCCTTCATTTGCCAATTAAAATGAAACATTAATGTGAGCTTAATGTAAATATGGAAATTAATTCTAGAAATGTTATGTTATGTACAGTACAGACTTTACATCCTTGATGCATACTTGTTGAAATCTACTGACACTCATACACTTTCAGAAAAAAAAAATCACGTTTTATAACTGAATTTGCAGCCATAATTTGTACATCAAGTTTCTGTTGTCATGGATCCCCACACAAGCAAGTACTTCAGAACACACAAGCATTTCAGGATGAAGATTCTTTCAGAAGTACTTTGACATTGCTTTTGCTTACCTTTTTATAATCAGAGGCCTTCCTACGGCGTTTTCTACATTAAGTGCTATGGGTTAAACTGGTAAAAAATGAACAAAAGTGTTTTTTTAACTACAGGTGATAAAACTTATTTTGCTTTAACTGCAGAAAAATAACACGGAGTTCTTTGATGTAACCCCATCTAGTTACTAAAACAAATCTCTTACACTCTAGCCTAACTGAGGTAGTGTTTGAAACTACGGTATAAGATATGCAAGCCCCATTTTTGGGAAAACTACACTATTTCCTTTGGAGTTTATACCACTATTTGGTCTACTGTGATTGACATTTTGGTTTTACAGAAGAATTTACTCCTTATGAGCAGAGAAGTCTAATAGTTACTAGTGTGGTATGTTTTCAGATCATTTCAAACATGCCTTGACACAGAAGTGTATTATTTGTGTCACTAACCATGGAAGAGTTGAATCAATTTCTTTTTACTCCTTCTTTTAGTGGGAACTCATGAAAAGATAATTTTAGGAACTAAATTTCACTATGAGCAGCAACTTACAGTCTGCTTTACCAGAACCTGATGGTATGCAGTGCACATAAAAACTCAGTGAAGTGATAGCTGCAAAGCAGTGCCTATGTGGCAAGATGGAAGTTCCAGTAAGAACAAATAAATTCTGCATTTCACTAGGAGTTGTGTTTTACTGTTCACAGGACTACTTACTGAAATCCCCAGTAGCATAGCTAGTAAGAACAGAGTTATGAGCATCAGGATAAATTTCACTTTTCTTCACCTAAGTATTAATCTGACAATTATAAAAAATGGGAAAAGTGAATGGATAAAAATACGTTCTACTTAGTACAGTCCAGCTGAATTATTCACCTATATCAAAATCAAAGGGTAATCCCTTCTATTACAGGCATTCTAACAAAGGTGGCCATGCTACTGTATATACACATTTGCATATATTTATACTACCTTCGTATAAAGGCTTCTGAATCCTCACATCCATTAAAAGTGATGGGGACTCTTTTTTCTTTTTAAGCTTCCACTCATTAATTTAGAAACCTCATTACTAACATTATAGAGGCAACTATTTCACTCATTAACAGTCACTGTATAATTTCACTTTTGCAACAAGTCTTAAACACCAGCATAACATTATAAGTACTGGTGCTCCAAAGTTTGGTACTTAAGGCTTTTCACTACAATTATTAGTACTATCTGATGCTTGATCACTCATCCATTGAAAATTCAAATAAACCTTTGTTTTTATAAAAGGCTGTTTCCATGGAACGTGGAAACCACACGTATTATGTCTTCTCACAAAAGCAGCAATGATTAAATGTCTTCAAGTTTAGGTTACACAATAGTCATTTATCTGACACAAATCATGCTTTTTAAAGGATTTTAGTTAAGAGTAAGACCGACATTTGTACTATATGAGCATGAATGTAGAAACTGCAAACACATGCATATCATTTAGGGACAATCTGATTTCAGCATTTTAAGTTTAAATGTTTTGTTATTTTTAAAATCAAACTGTAGTGAAAATCCTTAACTGCTTCAGGTAAAATACATATATGTAAATGTAATGAAATTGGAGAGACTGCTAATAAAATGACTTACAACTACAGCAATATTAAAATAACTTAAGGAAACCTCAAATTCACAGAGGCTTTTCTTTCTGTCTGAAGTTACAAACTCCGAAGTAGTGTTATAAACAGTACAAAAATCAACAGAGAACGGCTAACATTAATCCCCTGGTGTCCATGATTACAGCATGGCTCCCCATTGCTGGCAATGGAATGCACCCTCATCTCTGATTCCTGGTATCCAGAGTTTAAAAAGCAAGGCATTGTTCTGCTTCTCTGGAATAGAATCAGAAGTCAATCAAAAAAAGATGTCTCTGAATGCTGTCCTGTGTTTTTTTTTTGTTTGTTTGTTTTTGTTTTTTTTTTTTTAATTTATGGTAGAAAATGAAATGAAAACTTGTGGAGGTGTTCAGTGCTCAGCTCTTGCATATACTGGTAATAACTATTATTAAAACTATGGTAATGTTTAATAACTCCCCAAGGGGCTCAAAAGACTGGGGCAGTAATTGGTTGAAGAAGAAAAAGTTTTCAGGTCAGTCTTCAGGTACCAGTAGCTTCTGGAATGGTCCAGAAGATGATGTTCCAAGCTTTTTATCCAGTCAGTCGGAGGTCGTCTAAGGATTTCAGAAAGTCTATACGCAATGCACCGTGTGAGACAGAGGTCAGGATTCAGCTGATGTATTGATTAATGGCTGTTTTGCTGGTGTTGCTAAAATAGCCTCTGCTTCTTCATGCATCTAAAAGAAAAAGACAAATGATGTTGTTAGGGTTTTTACTAGACAGACATTATAAAATGGTGTCCTTTAAGACGTATCTGAAAGCACCTTTTATTCAGAACATGAAATCTGCACCCAGCTGGCTCACTTTGGTGCATTCAACATGTTTGAACCCTCCACTCACTTGTAAGAACTGTACATCTTGAAATAGCTCCTGAATGAACCTTCGAGATGGAAGTCGAAATGTACAATGTGCTAATAGGTAGGACACCTCAGAGTAAAGGCATATATCATCAAATGCTTGGGGATACTTCTCCTTAATTCTGAAAAACAGAAAAAACCAAAATTTTCTAAGTCTTGAACAGATTTCCACCATATTTTAATCGTCATATGTTCGATTAGATTTTGACTGTCATGATCAACAAAGTAGAACTCTTCAGTAATAGGCATTATAAATCCTGGATTTGATGAAGCAAGAAAATCAGAACAGACAGCGTTATTTTGTACCACACTGGAGGAAATTATGTTAATGAGATGAAACAGAATACACGATTTGAAAGTGCTGAGACCGCCTAGTCTTAAAATAATAGATGCAGAAAGAGAATAGTGTATCAAATAATTGGCAACTGCATGTACAACAGTAATAAAAAATATGGCAAAGCTAACTTAATTATCTGCAAGCATTTCTGAAGCTAAAATGAGCATTTCTGCATTTTCCTTTTAGCAGTTGTATGTCAGTTTCCAATGTCACTAGCCCAGAAACCAACAGGTTTTATTATGACATTTGCTCCCTGGATTTAAATTGCTACATTTTAACATGTTTTTTTCTATAAATTAATTCCCGTAACTCTTGCTCAAAGCACACCTGTGTTTCTCAAGAAGTCACTTTCAGTTTGTTATTCTGCTTATGTGACATACGTTATTTGGCACAAATAACAAAAAAGAACTACTGGGTTTTTTTTTTTTAAACATCCAGGATATACTGGGTATGTTATGAAATATCACTACAGTTGAATTACTGATTTTAAAAAGACTGAGGAAGAGTAAGAAAGAGCAAAAATATTAAAAGGAAAATTCTTTGTCTGGCTTCTACGTTACATCCAATCATTCAATCATATCTGCTTGACAATTTTTTGAGAAGTCAAAACTCAGGTTAATCACTATGCCCGAGATCTTAGAGAATACACACAAATAAATGTTGCTAACACATCTGTACGTATTGAACTTACGTCAAGAGTCCAGTTTCATGGCCCTTAGTTCCTACTGAACTACTCAAATTGATCACTAAACGTAAGACTTCTTTCCGCAGAAGTATTCTGCACACTGGTGTATCATCTGGGATAGATTTTACTCCTGGAAAAAAAATTAAACCTTATGGAGTTTAAACAGAACAGTCTTTGATTGTGCTGATCTTATGCCACATAAGTCTGTTTCAGCCTTCCACAAACATGAACCCACATGTATTTATGTGTGTATTCTGAATTACAAACAAATATTTCCATTGAAAACAAAATGTAACAAAATACTATTTTCAGGAATTTTAACGTACAAGTATTTTAAAAAAAGTTGAAGTACCACTTCATAAATGGAAAAACCTGTAAGATTCAATTACAGTACTGTCTCTACCACTACACCATGCAGCAAACTGGGCAAGTGATTACCTGCTCTGTTTCTATCAGACACTGGATAAGTTAGCAACCAGCTACTTCGTAAGAAATTACGATAATTCAAAATGTAAAACACAAGCCTAAGAAAGAAATCTCTTTCACTACAGAAATTGCAATATTTGTTTTTCCCCCAAGCTAACACCAGTGTGGAAAAAAAAAAAGGTAATCAATCTGCTTGTAATGTCAGACACAGAGCTATTTAATAACCTGCAGAAACGCTGTATAGCAAAAGGAGAGTTTAAAAGTATGTTCTCCCTATCTGGACATGGTTGCTGGTTTTATCCTTTTGTTGTAGAGTGGTTTTTTTTGAGCACTACTTTGTTGCAGTATGCATAAATTAAACATTATTTTTTCCACAATACCCAAAAAATAGTTTTAGGAGTTATTAGTCTCTAATAATCATAAGGCTTTCAAACTTACCTAGTACAAGCTCTGTACTCTTGGTGCTGCTAGCTGAACCATGGGATACTGCATCACTACAGCCTGAAATTCCAGAAAATTTGGAGGAATGCACATCTAAGTGATTGTGTATGGTCTGCCCACACCAGTCAGTATATGGAATGTCTGAAAAATCTGGCATAAACAAGATGTTGCATCTTTGTTATTCACACCCTTCCTCACTTCAAACGCTTTTCTTACTTTTGCAGCAGTGATAAGCATGGAAGACACAGACGCACTAAGTATTGTGCATACAAACCAGCTAGAAACTAGACGCTGAATTTGGGGCAAACCATACTCAAAATGTCTAAAAATCACTTTTTATGATTCTTAATATACTCGAGTGAAATTCTTTTAGACACTGACCCTAAAAACTGTCTTCACACATACAGCTCTTATTGATGTATCTGCATCCGACACTCTTGCATGCACATAATTTTTTTGTTGTTCATGCAATTATCACAGGTACTGCAAGAAGGGCTCTGACTAAACCAAAAGAAAGATGTGACAAGCAAGATTCTTCTGGGAGGTTTCACTATCCACAGCCTTTGGCATTCAGGATTTAAAGAGATTAATATACAATGCAAGCTTTTGATTGTTGCACAGCTAACAGCTCCCTGGGACTGGGGCACCTTCCCTATGATGGCACACTGAGAGAATTGGGGTTGTTCAGCCTGGAGAAGAGAAGGCTCCGGGGAGACCTTCTAGTGGCCTTCCAGTACTTAAAGGGGACTACAGACAGGTGGGGAGGGACTCTCGATCAGGGAATGCAGTGACAGGACAAGGGGTAATGGTTTCAAACTGAAAGAGGGGAGATTTAGACAAGATATTAGGAAGAAGTTCTTTCCTGTGAGGGTGCTCAGGCACTGGCACAGGTTGCCCAGAGAAGCTGTGGCTGCCCCCTCCCTGGCAGTGTTCAAGGCCAGGCTGGATGAGGCTTGGAGCACTTGCTGTAGTGGGAGGTGTCACTGTCCATGGCAGGGGGGTTGGAACTGGATGGTCTTTAAGGTCCCTTCAAACCCAAACCATTCTATTATTCTAACCACAGAAAAACAGGTCTGAAGGGACTCCTTGAGATCACCTAGTTGAACTCCTTGCTCAAAGCAGGGTCCACCTCAAAATAAGATTAGATTACACTGCGAAATTTCCTCTTATGTTAAACTGGAATTTCTATTCCTACAGCACATGTTTGTAGCCTCTTGTCATCTGGCTTTGTGTCTTCACAAGAGCTTGTCTCTGCCACACCTGTAATCCCCTTATGCTATTTGAAGACTACAGTTGGGATTTTATCTGCCATCCCTTGTCGATACCGAACGCAAGCTCAAACTCAGGTCCCTGGGCCATTCCTCACATTTTGTACATCATCCTCCTTTGTCAACAGTACTCTTTATGTGCTACTAGGTGAATGTGTAACACTTGTAAAACGGTGAGGATTCCTATTAAGCATCCGTTACTGGATTATCTTTTTATTACAGACATTGCAAAAAGACATTTAACTGCAAGCTCTGCAGAGGAGGTTAGGCAAAAGTAATTCTGAATCTGATCCAAATCTCAAAACATGAAAGAAGAAGACTAAATTCCAGAAATTACAGCTCAATTTCAACAGACTCACATTTCCTTTTTGTTTGGTTTTATAGTACAGACTTGCTTTGAAGTCAGACTTTTGATTAGTTTGACAGCAAGCGTCACTTTTCAGGACATCAATTTTAAGTACTAAGTAAGGTTTCAAACTTTATACTTTGATAAGCTCTCAGAAATATTTAAAAAACATACATGCAAGCTAGTCATACTAACACCATTAGAAATCAAAAAGCTGGAAATGACCATAGAAATACCATTGGTTGCACAGTGAGCTTATTACAGAGAATTAATTTCAAGTTCAATAGTCAGTATGAAAAAAATCTTACTGATTAATCAATTTAAAGATGAACAAAATTCAATCTTTTCATTCAGTTTTATCACACTTCCCCACAAGGAACACTAACCTGTACGACTGTAAGAGTTCACTTTGTTGTTAGGCTGATAACCCAGTATTTGAATACAGACACAGTAAAGGCAGTTCTCATCTGTGTGCTCCTGTAGCCCTGTATCCTCTGTATTTTCTAAAAACTGAGAGGCATCTGAACGGCTGGTATTCATTATTTCTGTGAGACTGATCTGCTGTCGGAGCATCTGAAAAGGGCTTTTGACAACATCACTTGCACCTGATGGAAGACCTGTAGATAAGCAATTAGACATCAGAAAAAAAAACAAAACCAAGCAACCAACGTTATTTCAATTAAATTTCCCCTTTTGAGCCTTTCGTGTGTGAAGATCTAGAAACTTTGAGTGGTCGAGCTCCCAGGATTGCCAGCGTTTTAGTCCTTGCTCACCATATACAACAAAACATTGCAAAGGACAGAATTCCACCTCTAAACACACACAGTGTAAGAAGATATGTTGTAAATCCTGACATTATATCAACATTAGTAATACCCATGTAACGCTAATGCGTCGCCAATTTTCATAGTGTTAAACAAGATTAGTACAATATACCAGATGTTTAAATTACAGATGCACCAATGAACATGGAAACACAGTTTAAAAACCCTGTAACTTGGTGCCTGTAATAGGAAGAAACTAGATTCAACAATGCAGAAACAAGCCGAACACACCTTAGTGACATACTCGGTCCCTGGGTGGAAAATACCAACAAATACAATTTTGAACAAGACTTACTTTACACTGAAACTTAGCAAGTGACACTAGAAACACACTTTCAGGAAAATAAGCTTTATATGTTACATTAACAGCATGAAAGAAAAAAAAAAAATCAGTAAGGAGTGTCTACTTGGATGTTCACAGTGCTCGAAATAAAGTTCCAGTTAACTAGGAGGCAAGACAACAGCTATCCTATACTACTTTAGTACCAGTTTCAATGCTTCTTTTTCAGTTGTCCTACTGAAAAGACACATATTGACGCTGTACAGATTTCTGACTACTCTGGAGTAAGAAGGAAGTGCATTCCAGAACAAGACTGACATTACAGAGCACTTGCAATTCTCTTGTACCATGTCCCATCACCTCTGCTTATCAATTGTCATGGAAACATTCCAGAAAAATGAAATTTAATTCCTGAAATACACAGCTAATACCTTTATTGGTTCTTATAAATTCACGTTTAATCAAAGGAAGTCAAAATGTAACACCTCAATATGTGGCATACATATTTTATCTTAGCTTAAATTTTACTACTTGCTTTAATGCAGTACCAACTACCAGTCTTCAATTAGTATTAGCTCATATTAATCAAAGATATGTAAACTTTCCTGCTTCATTTATTAGAGCAGGACCAAGCTTATGTTGCTTTGAAGCAACACTATATTATCTCAAACTAAATAAACAGGGAATTAATAGCCTGCTAGCTCTCAAAACCTAAACTAAAAATAACTTTTTCTGTAAGGAAAAGTCAAAAACTAACACCCCACCCAATGTACAAATAAACACCATAAAGGTACAGGAGAGGAACAAAACCAGTACCTCCTGCATCAGGTGCAAAGACCCTAGCTCCACGGTCATCAAATGGAGGTGTGGTTTTCTTCTGGAAATATGGAGTTTCCTTTACCTGGAATATTCAAGTGAAAATTAAAATTAGCACAGCTGACAATCATACACAAAGGAAAAATACATTTTATGAGGAAATAAAATGTTGTCCATTTTTTACTTCAGGAAAAAGACTTAATTAGAGGAGGAAATTAAGAATGGGCTCCTGAGTGCTAAAGAAACGAAAAAACATTTGTTTGTGAATGAACATTTATTAAGTAAGGCTTATGAACAATCAGTAAATGTTAAAACAGTGATGATGGGCTGTAAGGAAACCAGTGGCCCTGAAATGGCTATCACTGATCTGTTCATGATCACTTTACACCACTGGAGATCTTGGGAGAGCAGTGCAAAAACACCCAGGACATCTAAAATGGTGCCTGTAAGATGCTGTAGAGTCAAGATGTGTCTCAACTCTACAAAAAGAGTTGAGAGAGAAAAGAGGCAACATATATATCCCACAAAGTCTGTGAAGGAGAAAGAAAAAGCAGTCATTTCATCAAGGGGGAACAGAAACAGGTATGATGGAAAATCTTGCCTTTGCTCTAGCTTCAGTAATTTCTTGAGATTAGTAATAAAGTATTCAGATTTGAAAGGCAAAGACTAAGTAAACTGAAGATAAGAAAGGTCACTGATTCACCTTTCCCATGGACCATACCCTGGTTTTGATAATCAAGAAACAGACTATTAAACCCTGTGATGCATCAGTTTGTTAGATGAGAATGTGTTTTAACCAACTAGAAAGAGGAAGGCAATTGATGAGACACTGAAAATCATCTGCTTTAACTTATATATAGATATATCTGGGAGGTTAGGTAAAGACAAGGCAATTTAATGCTATGAAGATATATACAAATAAACTAATATTTAATCAAGATCATGGTAGCAGGAAGTTAATTGCGTCTATGCACACCATTTATGGTTGACCAATGAACATATCAATTAGTTAAAGAGGTACGAACAAACGTCCGCAGACTATGATGATTTTAGTACATAAACTAAAAATCTTAGGACACCATATTTATGCTACCTTCTAACACTCTTCTGACCTAGTCTGTGTCAGTATTTGCCTAATACAAAACAGACTAGTGATTTTCTGTAAATGGGGTTAGAAAAGAAACTCTTGTTCTTCAAAACATATTCCTTGAAAGTACATCCGATTTTCCTCATTTCTCTAGATCTAATCTATTCTGATGAAAATGCAACAGTTGATCACCTTTCAGTATGGAGATGCAAATTAACCCAGTAAGTTATCACATACATACCTGAAATATTTCATTAATATCCACTGGGAGAGCAAGGCCAATGTAATCATCAGAGCTACCATATGTAGCATTAGAAACCATGGAGCGAACAGAAGAGGAACGCTGAAGTGTGTTTTGGTTAATAGGACTCAGTAAATCTTCTTTATCTAACGAAGCGTAACTTAAAGCTTTCATGAACCTGTAACATTGAAATAATAAGTCACAATCTTGGTAACTCTCTCATTCTGGCACATTAAAAACAAGAAGGACTGCTGGCACAAAGACTATCCCCATCTTCCCATTGTACAACAGAGTTTGTTACTCTGTCAAATTACAGCTACAGGCTCATTGCTTTTTTCTGCCTCATACTGAATTGCGCAGTTTGGCAATTTCTCAGGTAAAAAAATTTTCTTTCAAAGTCCTGGGTCAGGGACTTCAAAGACAGCAGGATGGAACTTCTGCTTGAGGGGCTGCCAACCCCGCAAAACCACAAATTTTCTCCAATTTATCAGGCTTTGAAGATTTACAGCCCATACATGGTCAGTAAAGATTTAGGCTTTTAAACTGCTAACTGCCTCATTTTGAAATGTACCTAAACCCTGAACGTACCTTCCCTGGATGACCATGTAAGGCTCAAGACATTTTTACACAACAGGAATGTGCAGCACAAATTCTAACCTAACTAATTCTGACCAATGCTAATGACAGTACCAGTGGACTTACAATAAAAAGTCAAGATGTACTTCAAAAGGATGAGAGCAAGTGACCTCAAGTTGCACCAGGGGAGGTTTAGATCAGACATTAGAAAAAATTTAATCACTGTAAGAGTTGTCAAGCATGGGAACAGGCTGCCCAGGGAAGTGGTGGAGTCACCATCCCTGGAGGTATTTAAAAGACATGTAGATGTAGTGCTTAGGGACACGGTTTAGTGGTGGATTTGGCAGTGTTATGTTTACAGTTGCAGTGGATGATCTTAAAGGTCTTTTCCAACCCAAATGATTCCATGATTCTAAACCGCCAGAGTTACTAATTATGTTAGATATTTCATAATAAAGCATCCTACAATTATTCTCAATATAAAAACTAAAAGTAGAAGTATAATCCTAAATATGTGTCCCTGCTAACAGATGTATCATTAGTAGTGATAAACACTGGAAAGTTTTCATGAAAGCATTTCTACAGGTAAGAGTCATAATCAGGATTTGAGACATGCACATTAACATTTTTGTTTGGTTTTTAGAAGTAAAGGCGGAAAATTTAGCCTCACAAAATAAATTATGCAAAGAAATAAGCTTTTCAATGCTTTGAATAACAAGAACAACTAGAAACATCACAAAAATAAATTTCGAGCTTCTAGTTGCAATGAACACACGGATTTGTCAACGAAGCCTGAATCAAAAATTTTTCTGAAGACTGACAGAAAAATAGCCTTGGCAGACAAGAACAACAGAGTATTTTTTTCCAATTAATTACTTAAACAGCAATCAAGGACAGGATTTAGCTGGAAGTAGTAACATACTCCGAAATTAAAAGGACCACAATTATTCAGTGCAGACACTCAGCTATAAACAGTCAGAAAAGTCTTTCCAATCAATTATATTAGTAACCAACACAATCTGACAATCTCTTGTAATATGTATGTCTCCAGTTTTTTAACCTTCTCACAGACATGAGCACTCCAACCATTTCAGTTCAATGTTAAACAGGTCAGCTCAAATCCTTGACCCTAACCACCACAGAAGAGATCATGAACAGCTAAGCACCAGGAACGCTGTTAGCATTACACCATGCAGAGTGTCAGGATGAAAGTCCACTGCAGCAATGGTGCTTTGCACATCAAGGGCACGACTGCAAGGAATGGTACCATTACGACAGCCACAACAGAACCTGTATTGCCACTGAAGTGACACTGATGTTTTCCTGCATTAGCACAGGAAGCCAGTGACAGAGCAAGGAAAAGCACTTCTGATTTCCAGGATAGTGCAGCTTAACTACTGAATCACTCTTAATCCAATCAGCACACTCCGTCTAGTTCTAACTTAATTGAACACAGGCAACTGATCTTTTATGGCATCTTTGCAGAATCATGTGAAAATATCAACAAATGAATGTTGACCTTAATCAGGACTAATATGCATACTAAACCAGCCACTACATACACCCAACTGCAGAGTGCAGTTCAGGGACTGGGCATTTGCTCTTCTGTGCAGTAAGCAGATGACCAAAGTACTGGTAGCTTCGCCGCTTTCACTCACCCAAGAGAGGATGTTTACGTAAGAACAGAGATAGAACGTGCCTTTTCCCTTTCAATACTAACGTGAAAATCCAGTGCACTAGCTAAAAGATGATTTGAAAGGAAAATTTGGTAGAAGAGCTTTTAAGAGGAAGTTGTTAAGCATTGACTGTAGCTGCTGGGAACAGTGTCAATGTCATGAGTGAGATATCTTACGTAACTATACAATTAGTCTTCAGAACATCTAATATTACTCAAAAAAAAAAAGGTGACACTGCCATCTAAAAATAAATGCTATGAGTAAAATGTATGCTCTGTTGTAGCTAAGAAGCCAAACTGACATTCCTATCAACGGTACCAGTATCTCACCACTGGCCTCAATGTCACAGTGAACACGAATATAGCACATTGGCAGGAGCCCCTGTCCTAAAACCTCACCAAGGGACATCGAGAAAATTCTCTTCTCAAATATAGCTCTGACTACACGGGCAATTTTGTGACTGCAACTTTAGTAACATTAGCAGTGTAATTGCATTTAAATATTAAAAAAAGTTAAACAGGAAGCAAATGTGATAAAAGGAAGCATTTTCCTTTGTCACTATCAGCATTAAAGGGTCTGAGCACAGCTATGAAAGCCAGGCTTCTCTGACAGCACTTAGAAAGTTGAGAAATCTCACTCTATTATATTATTCTCCTAATAGCGATACTGCTTTCAGTGAAGTTATGAATCATCCTGCAACAACTGTTACTTTCAGGTGAAGTTGGAAAAAAGAAATTAGAAAGATACTTATTTAATTGCTCTTACAGCTTTGAAGTCAAAAATGAGCACATAATAATACCCTACCGGCTTGGGGTTAGCCGAGAATCCAGGCTGCCAGACTTCATGGTAATAGTGTCAGTAAACAGCACGTCCTTTGCTGGAGATGCTAGGGCTTCCGAGTGAGACAGTGAAGGATGCATCCTCTGCTGTTGTAAGCGTTTTAGTGTAGCATAGCCAAAGGCATCTCGAGAACTTGTGTAGCTGAAGTTATAGTCCGCAAGACTTTTTATCGTAGCAAGAGAAGGAGCTTTAAGAGACTGGGCTCTTCGGGGAAGTGTATGAGAAGACCCTGGCAGTACCAGTGATACAGAGTTGGATTTTGAGAGAGGCAGGTGGTTAGACTGTGGTGTTGAACAGTGACTTGGTTTAACTGTTTTTGTGCTTACCACAGTACTCAAACTTCCGCAGTCAGTATCTACATTTGTAGTGTCCACACCTACAGTCTCCCTTGAAGGGCTAGAGCTCATTGAGCTTATGCCACTTGTGGTGGTATCTGTATTAAAACTTAAGCTACGACTCTTGAAATGTGTTTGTGTAGTACCATCTCCTATTAGCCTTTCTCTGCTTGTGTTTTCCCGGTGAATTTCATTTCCAAGACTTTTTGGCAGCTTCAGATCATTTTCTCCGATACTTGGGGTACTATCAGTATCTTCCATGTGCTTACTTCCAACAAAAGAAGTTTCTAATCGTAGAGTCTGGATTTTAGGAACTCTGAAAACAGGGTTGAATTCTTCTCCAGCAGGAAAGTCTATACTACCAGAAGGTTCTGTTACTGTACGATTTCGCCTCATGCCTGATTTACTGTCAGATGTCACCTTTCCTCCTTTTGGATCACTGCTGCTTCTGTGTTTTTTATTTGGTAGAGTAAGAGAGTTTAGAATGCGATTTTTCACAAGCCTACTAGAAGAAAAAAAAGGAAAGGGACTACGGTCTTTGTCCTTTGAAGGTCCAGGTTTGTCATAAAATATTTGTTCTGCATCTTCAGTAATATCTAGGAAAAATGTACTAGTGGAAGTACTACCAAAACGGTCATCCTCCATGATGAACATACCTGAAATTATATGAGACACTGTCACTTAAAACAGACATTTCTTCAAAATGTATAAACTACGTTGTGAAAAAGTAAGCAATTTTACAGAAGCCAAAGTGGGAGACTATACGATTTACTGCAATTTTAATTTTTCTGCATAACTTAGTAGTATAAATTAAGTGTCTTGGGGAGCACCTGAGCTGAAGGTCTCACTGCTTCAAAACAAAAGCCACACTATCTTATTTCAGTGCAAATATCAAGCTACTAGGATTACAACTAATGGACTCCTTTAATGATATCTAAATATGCTATATTTCTGGATTTGAATTCCAAATATCCGTAGCAAAATTAAAATGTGTTACGATACTAAAATATACAAGAATTTAGATACAGCAATACTCTGTGTGTGTATACATATACACACAGAATATATGTATTTATATTCTAGAATATTCCTTTGAGGACAACCAAGCAAATGCATCTTTATACCTAAGCACAGAGGTATCTGCAGGGTATTACAGCAAGCTGCCATGACTTGACAGAAAAACTAGTAACTTATCCTGATGTTAACATTTCTTCTATACGAAATGTAAACCTAAGACACTGTTCTTTTCCCTTCTCACTTATCTACATCTCTCTGAATGCATATAACTCTCTGCCCTTACTTGCACTCTTCTTTCTTGCAATAACGCTGTTACACCATTTGCCTGAACTTCATCCTCCCAAAAAGTAAAACCACCAAACTGCAGTTTTGTGGTGTGTTTTAGGGTTTTGTTTGTTTGCTTGTTTTGTTGTTGTTTCTACTTACTTGAAGGAGCAGATTCGCTTTCACTGTTATGCCTAGAACTGGTGGACTCTGAGTTCAAGCTAAGAGTGCTGGGTATAGAAGAAAGTTCATTGCAGAGCTGCTCCATGTCATCAGGGACCACTGGCCAAGGCTGTCTACGACTGTGTCGCACTGCATCCCAGTTATGATGCTTCAAAATGTCACATCCTTGTTTAGTTTTGGCTATTAGACCAAGCACGTAGACACAGGTTCTGTATTTAATGTACATACAGAAAAAAGAGCAACAATCATAGCATCTAATTTAACTAAACTTATTTCTCTTTTGAAAAGAAACAGTTTCAAAAGCAGAAACTTCACAAAACTGCCAAGTAGCTCTTTGTCCATTTTTATTTGTAAATCAACGGAAGCTTAAGAAATGCACTGAAGAATGTGAGAACAATACACTATTAAAAAATAAAAACTAATTACTACAAAAGACCAATTACATAAAGTGGAAAAGTACCCTTTTTTTTAAAAAAACCCAAACATTAATGTAGTAGCAGTATTAGGCAAGAGGCCCTCTACGCTTTTAAAGATTCAAAACAAAAAAGATACTGAATAAGAATTTGGAATAATAAATTGATTCCAGAGATGCAAGTAGCAAATATTTTAATTGTTTTCTAAAAAAGGAGAAAAGTAGTATCTACCCTTTTTCATAGGTTTCATTTGCTTACTGCATGTTCTTTCAGACTTCCTATACAATTCAGTGATGGTACATGACTGACATTGATACTCTGTCCATGACCTTTGATAACTGATTTTCAAGTAAGTGCAAAGCTATATTCACATAAAACAGGTAAGGCTATTTGAAAATCTATGGCAACTACCATTTGGAAATTTTACGCATGAATCAGATAACACATACCCTCTAACAGAGAGAACCTCACAATGTTGGGCAAGTGCCATTATATCAGGAATTACATTCTCCTCTTGAAGCAAGTTAAGACCCCAATTTGATGATCCAATATTGCCCTAGAATAAAAGTTTGTCATGTAAGTTTTGGTTTTGATGCGATCTCCAGCACAATGAGTGTAAAACTTCTGAGTTTTTTACTATATACTTACAATATCTTCCACTAATAGTCACCTTAGACAAATGTTCCAAAATACACTTTGGGGAAAGACAAGAAAGAAGCAGGCGAACAGTTGAGGTGACAAAGCAAATTTAGACGTGTAGCTTGGATAGCCACAGACACTAGGTTTTCACCTAACCCAAGTACCAAGAGTATCCTGACCATATGTATTTACATGCATCAATAGTGGCAGCCAACTTTCTTCCAGAAATTGAATTTCAGACCACCACAGTAAATACATTAAAATCAGACCACAGCAACTTGTAACTACTGGTTCCATAATAATATTGTTGCTACATGTGGCAATCTATTCTCTTTATTTGCTAAAAAAAAAAATCAAAAAGAAAAAAAGACACAGTGACACTATTGAAAAACCTTAGAACAAAAAAGGTACAGTTAAACATTTGCAACTTAAAGCCCAGTTAGAGTACAGAAAGCCAACTTGGAAAAAGTGTTTATGACAAAAACCCTAACTAGTTATTTTATGGGATTTTGCTTATTTTTTTTTTTCAGAATCAAGAGCTGTAACAGAACTCAAACAACTGCAAAAAGTTTGTAAATCTATTACTAACCAAGGCCCAAAGGGCTGCTTTCAGCTGCTTAATTCCTTCCCACTTATCCAGCATTGGGGAACGAACAGTGTAACTTAGGTCTGTAACAATACTCTGAAGGAGAAAAACAGAAGGAAAAAAAACAACTTCAGTTAAAAATGAAACGGAGACCTCAGTCAAACAGGTTCTCTTACATTTTTTAATAAATGGTAAAGCACTAATTTAAAGTATGCACCCTAAAATGAACAGTGGTAGTTCAGGAATAATAAGCATAAAACAGTAATGCAAGTGGAAAATTTTAATGTATTCATTGATTGCATCAAGTTATTTCAGATTTTATAAAGCTAAGAGATTAACCACACTAACACACCACAATATATAAGCTTTCTCTTGAACTTTTAAACTATTTCAATTCATTACATCATCTTGTAAACCTACATTAAAATTGAATCCATTTAGGCAACTATGAGCTGGCTTAGGGTATGTTATCTTAGCTTTTCAGGATATTAGAAAGAAGAATTTACTCCCTCATCCATTAAAGGCCAGTTTTACTTGTAATATACACATTCACTCACACACAGACTGAAAAGTGATTTCTACTGCTGAGTTGCTTTAAATTCCAAGATTTTGCTAGCCATTTTAAGAAAAATGTTGCAAGGTATTTCTCTGATACTTCAGTGTTGGAAAGGAATTTTACGTGAGGCTGGACGGCAAAGACAGTCTTTGTAACTTTTTGGACCCATATAACTTAAGACTTTCATAACAAACTTACTTTGCAATGACTGTTTAAATACTATCTCTTAAAATGTATTTTAAAAGGGTTACAGTACTCTAAAATCTTTCAAGTTATAAATAGTTATTATCCTCACCTGAGACTCCAATAAATGGCAGCCCGTTTTATGGTGTACCAGTTGGCCATAGAGGTGAACTGGCAGGTAGACGTGTGGTCGCTGTAATCTGGCAGAAAGATAAATCACATGCATTCCCAGCAATTCTGACATTTTCTTTTAAAATAAATTACACTGCAGTGTAGTGTAATGAGTTACTCTTGAGTTTTTTCAAAGAGGATTCTTTCAGAGAATTTAGAATAGAATACAATATTTCAGCTGGAAGGGACCTACACCAATCATCTAGTCCAACTTGCCGACCACTTCACGGCTGTCCAAAGGTTACAGCATGTTATTAAGGGTGTT